TGGGAAGAGTGGTTGCTGTTGCAACCCCGCATCAAGAGGATCAGATCTCAATAGTGCTGGCCTGGGAAAAGACCCATATTCAAAATTCAAGGTTATCTGGGCTAGGGATGTGGCTCAAGCGGTAGCGCGCTCGCCTAGCATACGTGCGGCCCGGGTTCGATCCTCAGAACCACATACAAAAAACAAAGATGTTGTATCTGCCAAAAACTAAAAAAATAAATATTAAAAATATTCTCTCTCTCTCTTAAAAAAAAAAAAAATTCAAGGTTATCAGGCGGATGCCATGGCACACACCTGTAATCCCAGCAGCTCAGGAGGCTGAGGCAGGAGGATCTCAAGTTCAAAGGCAACCTCAGCAAAAGCAAGTGTTAAGCAACTCAGTGAGACCCTATCTCTAAATAAAATACAAAATAGGGCTGTGGATGTGGCTCAGAGGTCAAGTGCTTCTGAGTTCAACTCCTTGTATTCCCCCACAAAAAAAATTCAGGTTATCACTGAATAGGTATCACATGTACACCACAATGAAGTTAAAAATGTTAGGTCAAACCCTGTATATCAGAAACTGTCTGTACTGGCATTCTTCATCTTTTTCCCCTATCCTCACTTACCTCCCACTCAAGTCCCCCTTGAGGTCTTGGACCTGTTTGTCCCTGTTTGACCGGTTGGTCCATCCTGTCTATTCCCCTTCTCTCTCTCCTATCCCAGAGGCTTTGTTACTTCTCAAGAGCTTCTCATTTTTCTTCTTTTCTACTCTCCAGTCCATCCAGTGCCCAAAAGCCAGGGGAGGCTTCCTGAGGGGCCCCCAGTCATAGTCAGCATCCTCATCAGTGACTTTCAATGGCCCTTAGCCCTTCCTAGATAAAAGGCCAATCATCTCAGCCTGCCTTCAGGGCCCTCATCATTCACATCATCCTTACTTTGAATGATTCTCAAACTCCTGAGAGGGCTTACAATACGCAAGGCACCATGCTTGGTGTAAGAATCATTTCATGGCACATAACTTCAGCCCAGATGCTGCAGGCCTCAGTCAATCCGGCAGGCCTGCTGGTCTCTGAAAGTGACTTCTGCTCCCTTGCCTCTGTTCACACTATTCCATCCTCACAGAATTTCAGGTCTTGACTCAAAAGAGACACTCAGGGATCAGTGGAGACAAGATCGCAGAAAGGTGTGGCTTTGGCAATGGCTGGAGGTGAGAAGAGAATGTTGGAGGGAGTATCCTGCGGGGCATCTACACTTAGTGGAGGGAGGAAAAAAATGAGCTGTGCAGAGGCAGAAGGATGGACAGAAGACTAGGGTAACAGGTGTCCCAGTCCCCATACAGAATTGTAAGAAGGATAGAGATATTAACAATGTCAAGGGATGCAGAGAATCAAGAAATACCCAATGATGTAGAAATGAAATCACTATGTAGCTCAGAATTTGCTTTCATTCCTGATAAGGAATGCCTCAAAGGCAAGGGCTTCAGAAATAAATGCCTGGTGAAAAAGAGGTAGCTGTATTCTGTGCCCCACCCAACTGCTAGAAAGAGAAAAGTGGAGACATATAGGGCAATGGTTGTGTGTTAAAGGCTAACTGAGAAATGGAGATAGGTAGGACTACTCAAAAGAAAGAAAAGAAATCAGCCACCTGACAACCAGGAACTATACCTCCTTCACTGAAAAGCTCCAATGACTCAGGCATGACTTTGGGCCAGAACAACTGCAGGAGAAAAACAGACCTAGTTGTGCCTTTGACTTTCTCCTTTCTTCAGTTGGCAGAGGAGTTCATGGTTTATGAAAGACTAGTAGTGCACAGCAGTGACAGTACAAGGTCTACAAAGAAGAAGTCAGCAGGGAACATCGCTGTAAAAAAAGTGTTTTCTTGCCCAAGTATCACAACATGCAACCTGGTGTTAGCTGCAAAAACAGCCTCCACAAAGAAACGGGTTAATAAGAGTCTCTTTGTTGGTTCTGCTCAGTTTGCATAAACCTACACCTACACATTTAACCCACATGAAGGCTCTTTTTAACTAAACAGCATATTAAGTGTGACTTTATAAAAATGAAACCATTTTCTTGATAAGTGAGCCAATTAGCATTCCTTGAGGATATACAAAATCTAAATGCACTACTATTTCCAATCTACCTCTTGGTCTTTATTCCCTTCCCTCCTTTTTTATTTTCATTTGGATTGATGACTTCAATAGCTGTGTTCCAAACAGTTGCCCTGTGGAGCCCTTCTCTCTAAAACCTGTATCTGAATAACAACAACAAAAATCCTGATAAGCCTGCAACACTGCTATGTTTCACTTCGGCTTCCTGAAACCGAAGGCTGAGAAATATTGAAAAGTAACTAATGCCACTTCAGTTATTGGACCTAGCACAGACTTATCCCATGAGGACACTGTGAAACCATTTCAGTGGGACTCTTGAGTCAAGAGAGCATTGTTGGCCACCTATTTTTATTCTGCTCTGGGATTTAGGGTACCCTGTCATCAGTTTGCTAGGCCATTACAATTGTTCCCCTTCCCTGAACCTTTTCTCTTTGAAGACTATTATCAACCCCCAGCAAATATGACACAGGACTTTGTGTATCCCTGAGATAAACTTCTGACCTTGGCCATAGCAGGAATTCCAAATTGCTGGTGAAGCATTAGATTTTCCTATAGCTTCTCCCAAACTTCCTACTTTTCTGCCTTAACTTTGCAATTTACTTTAGATCATGTGAGTAGATGAAGAAAAGATGACTTCTCTATGAAATCATGTTTGCAGAAACATCCACATTTCCTTATTTGGTGACTATATTTACCTGTAAGCTTGGCCAGGCCAGGGTACCCAGTTCTCTAGTCAAACATGAGTATGGATATCACTGTAAAGGTGTTTTTTGGATGTGACTGGCAGTTAAATCTAGAGACTGAGTAAAGCAGATGGCCCTGCATAATATGAGTGCCTCTTCCAATTAGTGGAATCCTTTAAAAGGCAGAGGTCCTCAGTAAAAAAAAAGAAATTCAGCCTCAAAAATATTTAGTTTCCAGACTAAAATATCAACTCCTGTCAGAATTTCCAGCCTGCTCCTCTGCCCTGCTGATTCTGAATTTGTCAGTCCCTAACATCACATGAGTCAATTCTATAAATCAAGCAATATCTCCTCCCTCTCTCTTTCCTTCTCTCAAGTACCCAGAATCTGGGACTCTGAAATCCACAATGTTCCAAAATCTGAATCATTTTGAGCATAGACATGATCTCATGCCATGGTCTGCACTTCACCAAAGGTTCACTTGTTGGAAGTGTGGTCCCCAGGATAGGTGTGCTGGGAAGTGGATGTGGAGCTTTTAGGTGGGGCTCACAGGAGGTCCTTAAATCACTGGGGACATGCCCTCCGGAAGGAATAAGGTATTTCTCACCAGATTTTAGTTAGTTCTGTTGACAGGACTATTATACAAGCTTGAGTCTAGCCCCACCCAGCCACTCCATCTTCCTGTTCTGAGACTGATTCTTTGCTCCCAACATTGCAACCACCACGAGGTGACAAGTCAATGGAAAGAGGCCCTCACACCATGAAAACTGGACTTCAGTCAGAAAAACTGTGAGTTCTTTTTCTTCATAAGTGGCCTGCCGGGGCTGGGGAGGTGGCTCAAGCGGTAGCGCGCTCGCCTGGCATGCGTGCGGCCCGGGTTCGATCCTCAGCACCACGTACAAACAAAGATGTTGTGTTGGCCGAAAACTAAAAAAAAAAAAAAAATAAATAATAATAATAATAAAAAAAAAAAAAAAAAAAGTGGCCTGCCTCAGGTACTTGGTTATTGTAAAGAAAAACTAACATGTACCACAAGTGAAAATTCCACATCAAACAGCTTCATGCACAGAATTATTTAAAATATTGCATAAAATTAACTTCATGTTATGAATATAAGTTATATATGCACCTATCTGTATTTCATGTTCAGACTTGGGTCGCATCCTAAGATATCTCATTAGAATATGCACATATTCCAAAATTTTTAAAAATCCCAGAAAAGGATATTCAACCTGTTACACACGTACATGCACACACGCACACACAACCTATTTTTCTTTTTCTCTGGAGAACTCTAATACAGGGATCAAGAGAGAAAACATTTATTTGTCTACTCTGTTAAATCCAGATAATTAGAAATTTTCAATAAAACACATCGTAAGAAATTTAAAACACCATGCCTCTTATGTTAAAACCAATGATTTGTTCAGGTTTCTGAAATGAGACCATATTAAAAGACTTACCAATAATCATGATGTCAAAAAATTATAGAAGGCTATTAATGGATTTTAAGTTAAGGGAGCAATTATTTCCAGAGGTAATATAAAAGTCATACCTTAATTTGGACCTTTCAAATTTCAATCTGTTAAGTTCTCTGCAAAGGCTTACTTTTTACTGAATGGATCTCCAGATAGCTTTAGAATAAATTACATCCTTGAATCAGGAAAATTTAAATTATAGGCACCTATGCTCACAGCAGTACTTTGCTAATAAATAAAATGCCTAGTGAAGAAAATCCTTCTTAAAGCAAGCAATAAACTTTACTGAGTGCCTGTCACATGCGCTGGGCAAGAATACAGCAGTTGCTGCCTGGTCTATAATACAAACCAGCATTTCTGAGTACCACAAACACATATCACAGAGTGTACTTCAATCTTCATCATTAGAAAAAGCTTATATTAAACTACACAAAGGGGAGAAAAGCCTAACTGGCAATAAATATAATTACAAAGCAGGTCCCCTGGAGAAACAAAACAAAATGTTACATGTGGCACTTTCCAAAAGACTGATTCCCAGCCTCAGTTCTGAATGGCATTAGCTATTTCCCAAGGAATGAGGGAAACATTTACTCAGATTCTGCAAGGCCATGGTCACTTGCTGTAGACTCTACCACTTGACCTTAAACTCAGAACAATAACCAAACAATGAATTTTCCCTTAAACTCTGATTTCCATTAAGATAACCAAAGACTCATTTTATTTAAAAACCACCTGAACCCATCCTACCTTTTCAAGTCTTCAAAATGCCACTACAGTGGTCACACCATTGTAGGTATAATTTTATTTCAGATCCAGTCACTTGGCAGGAGCGCTCAGACCATGAAATTATCAGAGCTTTGAACTTTGTCCTACACAGAATACGAAAACCCACCAGTGTGATTTGTAAGTTCGTGCTGTTGCCTGGCATTAAGTTAATATATAACAACAATTACACACCAGAGAGGGAAAAAAATCAACAAGTTAAATATATACTCTAGAAAATCCAAAACTGGCAACAACAACCAAAAGAATAGAAAGATAATCTTTGTGGTTTGGTTGGCTCTGTATGCTTTTCCCCCATTTCCCATATCTACTTAATGGAGTTTGAGCTCCATTAAGGTAAAACCAGAAATTTCTATATAGAGAAATTTCAGAGAACTTTCTATGTGGAATTTCAGTATCCAAAGGATTATAATACTAACTTTTCAAAATACGTCATTCTCAGTAAACATCTATTTATCCAAAATCAAACACAGTAGTAAACATACATCGTGATTAGAGAAAAATATAGTTACTATATTTATTATTATTCTGAGTTACTTCTTGCAACAATCCTTTGAAGGAAGCTGACTTTGCTGGATGACTTTAAACATGTTACCTAACCTCTCCGAGCTTCAGTTTCAGAGGAAGTAATAATATCTGATCCAATCAACGTGTAGTGTACAGAAGAGAAACAATATGTGAAAAAAACATGGTGGCACCATGTCTGAGGAATCTGCCATGATTATTTTTTTAAATCATACAAAGCAAAATCAGGATTAGAATGAATGCCTCCAAACTTTGAACCCCAGTACAGACAGGAATCCAGCTCACCTCACTGTCTCTTGCAACAGGAAAGGTCACTATTAGTCACTATTAAGAACATTATGGCCAGCCTAGTGGTGCATGCCTGTAATCCCAGCAGCTCGGCAGGCTGAGGCAGGAAGATCGTGAGTTCAAAGCCAGTATCAGCAATGGTAAGGCACTAAGCAACTCAGTGAGACCCTGCCTCTAAATAAAATACAAAATAGGGCTGGGGATGTGACTCAGTGGTCAAGTGCCCCTGAGTTCAATCCCCAATACCCCCCAAATAAGAAAAAGAAGAACAATACAAAGTAATGAAAGTTTTGACTTGTACTTGTTTGAGAACTTTCTACTTAGAATCTAAGTTCAAACATTTGGACAAAGTTTAAACAAAGTTAGTTTGTTTTTAATTTTTTTTTTTTTTAGTTGTTGATAGACCTTTATTTTACTCATTTATTTATATGTGGTGGTGAGAATTGAACCCAGTGCCTCCCACATGTGAGGCAAGCGCTCTACCACTGAGCCACAATCCCAGGTTTTTTTGTGTGTACAAAGTTCAAGGTGTAATGATGCCCTTGTCAAATGTTTCTAATTCTGCCATAGGATCTTGGTTGGGGAGGATGACAGTTTTCCAGAGCAAAGTAGGGAAGAGTTATATCTACTCTGAACATGTTTTGTGTTTATGATACTTGACTTGAATTTGAAAAATGTATATTCAATTGATATGATTTTATATTGAAAAATGCAGCCCCTTGACAAAATACCCCAAGCATGCCAGAGGAATTTACTACTGTGAGGGTACTCAAGTATGTGGCGATGTTTCTCTTTTTTTGGTGCATTACATGAATAAGGAATGTATATTGGAGTAGATATCTTTACTCTGAACCCCAATGGAACAATAAAAATAATGGTGCCCCTGAGTGCCACTCTCCACGGCAGGCACCAATGCCACAGTGTCCATGCAGGAGCTGCCCTTGGTTTCATTGGGTTTAATGGGCCAGCTTTAACTGGCCCGATTAATGAAGCAGAGCAACCTGCTGAGTTTCTCTAACACTGATACAATCTGAACAGCTAAATATTTTTAATATTGGCAGAACAAAATTACTAGAAATGATAAACTTTAAAAATTAAAGTAGGATGAATACAAAGACACAAAGTCTTAGGGCAGGCTTGTTCATCCATCTATAAACTGAGGCTGGTGGGAAAGCATCTTTCCTGATGATCAGACTCTGGATATGAGTTTCATCTAACCTAGCCAGGCCTTCTTCCCAATGCAGGAAAATTCTTATTATAGGAAAAGAGAAAAAAAGTTTTCTGTAAGTAGCTTAATATTTTCAACAAAGCTTTTCATTCAAACACTGTGTGTGCTCCAAATATGTATAAAGTGCTAAAATAATGAGTACGAAGAACACAACTGACTAACATACAGTACTTGCTAAATACCAGGTGCTGTGCTAAGTGCCTGTTACTGTGTTTCTCTGGATCCTCAGAAGACCCCTTGGAAGCAGGGACTCGACTCTCCCTGTGACAGATAAGGAGGTGGGGCAGACAGCACACAGCAGTGAGCCTTCAGACTTGAGTCCAGAGTGACTGACACTAGAGCACACGCTTTTAAGCACTTCTTCAAGAGCTCACGACACTTCATGGCTAAGGAAAAATGACAGCCTATAACGAAAACCTCCAAAAATATTCCAAAGAATTGAAAAGGAAAAAAGTACTCCTTTGCCAAGAAATTTAATGAGGAAAGTTATCAGCTCAATTAGCCATTCAACAAAATCTGATTTCATTGAAGAAGTCATCTATTATTTCAAATTCATATTAGAACACAGTTAATACTAAATAAATAAATATCAGTCAGATTCCTTGAATAGAAACTCACACCATCAACTGTTAATCATTATTTATAGCTTACTAGTATAAAATATTGGACTAAATAATCTAAATAATCTATTCTAGTCCTCAAAGCAATTTCTATGTTATAGATGAGAAAATAAACTGAAAGCAAGACTTCATCTCCATTTGAGGACCAGGACTGGAACCCAAGAATAATACCTCCTGCCCAATCCTCTCATAACTAAACTTGGATTTATGCCTGAAATAATATACAGTCATGTGAGTATGTACATAGACATTATGTATGTATATTTATACACATATCTACACAAACGCACATACAGACATATGTTTATATGAAGAAACTTACCAAAATTTACCTGATTTAAAGAAACTCACACATACTAGGAAATCTTGAAAAGAGCCTTCAAATATACGTAGTTGGATAAAAGATTCCCCCATCTTTTTTGACGCACTGTGCTGGACACTTCAGAACACTCAACTGAAGTGCAGAACACAGTCACTACCCTCAAGAAGTTCACCATCTGTGGAGGAAAACAAGGGAGCATACAGAAAATACCACAGTGTAACCACCTAGGACACAGGTTAAGGGAGCTAAGGAGAATTCTGCCTTAACTACAGAGTTCAGAAACAGCTCTGCACGCAGGACAGAGAGCTCCACAGAGGAAGTGCGAGCCAGCTAGATGGCTGGCAATGATGAAATGTTCAAGGTGGCTGAAGAGAAAGGCTAGCTATGCGGCCTTTTTTTTTTTTGGTCCTTTCAGGAATTACAAACAAAGAGAAAGAATATTAATTCTTCACAAAATCTTCCAGAAAACAGGAAGAAACTCTACCAAACTCATTCCATAAAACCAGCATGCCCTCATAACAAAACCAGAAAAGGATAACACAAGAATAGAATAGTATAGACCACTGACTCCTATGAACATAGACATAAAAGTCTTAAAGACAATACTAACAAGTCAAATCCAGTAACACATAAAATGGTTAAACACCATGATCCAAGTGAGATTTACACAGAAATGCAAGGTTGGTTTAACCTCCAAAACGCTTTTAATGGAATACACCATTATCAATAAAGAAGAAAAAAAAAAACATGATTATTTCAATAAACATAAAATGTTTTCTTGAAAAGTTAAACTTCCCTTCAAGATGAAAACACTCAGTAAGTGAGGATAGAAAGGATCTTCCTCAAGCCGATAAAACCATCTACAAAACCCCGCAGTTAACATAATTAACAGTGAAAGACTGGATACTGAATACTTCCCCCCAAGAACAACAACATCAAAAAAGACAGGGATGCCTGTTGACACCACTTTCATTCAACATAATTCTGAAGATTTTTTTTTTTTTTTAAAGAGAGAGTGAGAGAGAGGGAGAGAAAGAGAGAATTTTAATATTTATTTTTTAGTATTTGGCGGACACAACATCTTTGTTTGTATGTGGTGCTGAGGATCGAACCCGGGCCGCACGCATGCCAGGCGAGCGCGCTACCACTTGAGCCACATCCCCAGCCCTAATTCTGAAGATTTTATCCAGGAAAATTCTGCAAGTGAAATAAATCCATCTAGATTGGAAAAGAATAAATAAGATAATCTCTATTTGTACATGACATGATCTTAAGTAGAAAATATACTAAGGGTAACACTAAAAAACTATAAACTAATAAATGAGTTTAAGAAGGCAGTAAGATAAATGTGTAATTTTTATAAAAATTTCTATAAACTTGTAATGAACAATCCCAAAAGGAAATTCAAAAAATAACCAATTTTCAAAAATAAAAAATGTAGCAATAGAATAAATGAAGTATAGAACTTGTACTCTGAACATTATAAATCATTGAAATAAATAAAATATTAATAAGTTCATGAATGAAGAGACTTCCTATTGTGAAAATGGCAATGTGCTTCCAATCAATCTACAGACTTAATGTAATCCTATCAAAATACCAGTTGACTACTTTGCATACATTGGCAAACAGATTCTATAATTCATATGAAAATCCAAGGGACCCAGAAGAGTCAAAACAATCTTGAAAAAGAAGAATAAATTTAAAAGAGTTACATTTTACAATGTCAATGCTTACTATAAAACTAGTAATGAAGACAGTGTGGTACTGGCATAAGGGCAGACACACCAATGGATGAAAATAGAACTGAGGGTCCAAAAATAGAATTCTATATTCCATGAATATAGACTGATCCTTCCCTCACACCACATACAAATTTAACTCAAAATAGGACAACATCTAAATGTAAAAGCTAAAACTTTAAGATTTGGACAAAATGTACAAACTAAACTTCATGACCTTGGATTAGGCAATGTTTTCTTAGATAACACACAGCACAATGACAAAACAAAAAATAGTTTAATTGTATTTCACAGAAATTTAAAACTTTGATGCAAAGAACACTGTCTCTAAGTTAAAAAAAAAAACCTATAGAATGGAAGAGTTACATAAAAATCATATATCTGATATAAGACTAATATCCAGAATATATTCAGAATATATAAAGAATATATTCTGAATATATAACCCAATAACAAAATGGCAAACAACCCAACTTAAAAATGGACAAAAGGCTAGGTGCAGTGGCACACTCTTATAATCCTAGCAACCCGGGAGGCTGAGGCAGGAGGATTGGAAGTTCAAAGTCAGCCTTGGCAACTTAGCAAGGCCCTAGCAATTTATGGAGAACCTGTCTCTAAATAAAAAATAAAATTGGCTGGAGATTTAATCTGGCTAAGTGGTTAAAAATTCCTGGGTTTGATACCTGGTACAAAAAAAAAAAAAAGTAAAGGACTTGAATAGTCATATACTCAAAGAAGCAAAGCAAATTAAAAGATGCATCAGGGAAATGCAAATCA